AACTCCTGAATGTTAGGTCCAGACATTTCACATGTGAAGAACACAGCAGGAGATTGTCTGGGTCAGACGTTCAGGTGAGGGGTGGCGTCTGGGTCGAGCATGCAGGAGGCAGGACATGGCGTATGAATCAAATGATTTTTTTTACAGCTAATCCAACACCAGCACCCTTATCTCCAAAACCTCACAACGTTTGCTGTCTTTCCAAATCTTTGTTGGTGTCTCCCACGTGGATGACACCTCTTTGTCGTCCTGAGGTATTTGTATTCTTTTGTTTTTTGTGTTCGTCGTGTTCCAGGAGCAACTGACACAAACGTTTGAGTTCTCACATGCAGCCCCTCTGGAAAATTTCAGGAAAATGTATGTGCATGTATCCGAAAGCAGCTGCAGTCGAACATTTCCCTTCAGAACCACACACATTAAACACAGAGGAGGCAGCAGCCACCATATCCATTCTATCTATAACATTTGCAAAGAGCGGCAGAAGGAAAACAAATAAAGCATGAGAGCAGAAAATCCAGGACAGTCAAAGAGAATAGTGGATTTTCATACACAAACTATCCCAGTTTAAAAATAGCAAACCCACCTATGGGAGTTTCCCTCTTGTTGAAGGCGAGGGCCGAAGGGAAATCATAAACAAAAAGGGAGAATTGGGGAACCAGGCCAGGGTGGGAAGGGAAACACAAAAATAAAAACCTATAAAAGTGCATTAAAAAGACCATTGAGAAAGACTTGAAACAGAAATGCTCAACCACACGAATTCCGCTTTTAGCTTTAGTCAGGAAACAAATTAGACATCTTCAATCTATACGCAAAGATGTAGGGTGCACTGCGGTGGTGAGGTCAGCACATTTAAGATCTTAGACTGGCACATAACAGATATAATGTACTCCCCAGACATCGCTAGACGCACTTAAACCCACGTTCTTGCAGAGTTACAACAAAAATAAGTCTTGAATCTCACTCCAAAGTTATTGCACATTAAAACCTTCCTGCTGTGTGATTTACTGTTGGTTTAGCCTGTTCATTTGTCCCCGTCTCTGCGCTCCATTACACCACCTGGCTCTTTATGGAGCAGAGACTGTCTCTGATAAGCCTGCAGCAAAATGACTGATGAGAGCGTGTCTGCAAGTAACAGAGACGCAATTAGAAGTTGCTTCTCTTTTAATGTCACACAGTTTTAAGCTGCTATTACAACATTTCAAAATGTCCTTTGTGGTGGAACGACAGCATGCATGTGGAGCTGGTTACGTTTTGTGGAAACAAATAAGCTCCGGGATGTGAGGCTGATTGGAGGGGACACTAGGAGACTAAACACTGTTTGTCTTTTTGCCCATCTGTGAGGCATTATGCAGCGTGAAGTGAATTACGTTGCATTCGAGTCATGCCCCAGTTAATTGAACAGTGTAAACTTGTTCGCCGCAGATTAGCTTCACAGGCGTCTCCGTAATGTCCACGCAAACACATGTATATAAAGCTACACCATTTAAAAAAAGCTATTTCCTTCACAAAGCAAAAACGTCTAACACAATCCTAATTAATGTTGGAAACTCCAGATGGCATATGTAATGGAAGAGAAACCGGCTCTGTGGTTTTGAGTGGGCTGCTCTCTCTTACACACACACACACACACACACACGCACACACACACACACACACACAGCCTTGTCCTCTTGCACTTCTGCCTTAGTGAGGACATTCATTGGTATAGCTCTGACCCTAACCCTCTATTTCTAATCCTAGTAACCAGAACCTAATGCTAACCTTGAACTTGAAAGCAAATCTTAACCCTCAAACATCCCATCTAAACACGAGGACCAGCCAAATGTCCTAATTCTCCCAAAATGTCCTCAATCAAAGGTGCTACTTCAAAAAGGTCCTCACAAAGATATAACACACACACTTCTTTTCTTTTTTATGTCCTGCTCGGTTTGAAGTTGCCTTCTTACAAGCTTTAAACGGGATTAGCACATGAGGGGGAAAATACTCTTTCAACGTCTTGGACCAGATCCCGTTTGTACTCTGACTCAGATAGTTTGAGCATTGACTAAATGCTTCTCTGTACTCTCATGAGAGGACAATTAATGTGCTTTAATCTCACGTGAAAGTAGATGTTTAAAGCTATCGCAACTTTCCATCATACTGACATTCTACTTTCTTTCCAGGCTCTACCTCGGAAACTCCACATATTCCCCTCGACACTGAAGACTGGATGTTCGACCCGGTGGACAGCAGCGTCACCTTTCTCCCAGACTGCAATAAAGAACGCACCGGGATCTGCAACCTCTCAGACACGTGGGACTCCACCACCACCGCCTCCACCTTGGACGCCAGACCCACACAAAACACCACTGCCGCAAACCAATCAATCAACCCTTTTCTAATCCCGGCTCCTCCCATGTTGGTGCCCTTGTACACTGACTGGAACAGTGCCATGGCAGCTTGGGGCCTGGCTTGGGAGGCACATGTTTATGGTGCCGGTTGTGTCTTTGCGATGCTAACGCTAGCCTCAGCGCTCAATCTGCTCTGCTTGCCACTGCGATGTCCATCTGGGTGTGGCTACTTCGCCCTAGTCAGCCTGTTTCTACTGGCTGCTGGTTGTACCAGATCTTTCTCGCTCCTGTACGACGCCTACGGCCACCAGGATCGCCTGCCCTTCACAGAGGCCTCGCTGATGCTCTACGAGGCGCCCTTTCCCTGCCTGACGGCAGCTTTCGGCCTGGTTTTCCTTCTCCTCTCCATGCGCTCAAGAATGCAGCTCTCCTACTCAGCCTTCCAGAGACCCTGTTTCCTGGCCTGCCTGGTTGCCCTTCACTTTGCTGCTGCATTCGGCCCAGTGACATTACTGAAGTTCTACCAGCAAAAGCCTCCCCTTTGCCTCTTTCTTTCACTCATCTCCCGTGGAGCCTTTGTCGTGCTGGCCACTTTTCTGTCTGCTGCCTATTTTGTGTTCTACATCTACGTGCGGGCGGACTCGAAGCACATCTACCACCTGAACAACACTTCTCCTACACCCGCTGAGCGCTACAACCGCTGCCCCTTTGCTGAGAGCCGAGATTGGGACCGTGCCGCCATAACTGTTTGTCTTTCAGCGTTGTTTTCTTTAGCATGTGCAGGACTGCAGTTGTATGCAATGCTCAATGCTATGGGTGTTGCCGGTGGAGAGGAGGTGTTCCACCCCTGGCCCTGGTGGGCTTTTCAGTTTAGCTGCAGACTATGTGAGCTCGGGGTCTGTCTCACCTTAGCCTTGGTGGTTGCACAACCTGTCTACTGTTCTGACCACCTTCCATCTGCAGGAAGCTGCTGGACTGAACTGTTGGCCTCCAAATCGCCCATTCTGCCTGGGAGCTACCAGTGGACCCTGAGCCAGCAGGAGAAACTCGCCATTGTTGATACAGTAGGGCTTGGAGAGTCCGAGAGCCTTCCTCTTTATACCCTGATGGATGAGAGGCTCGGTAATAGTCTGAATGGCCTGGACCTCCTCTACCACAGCAACCGGGCCTTAGCATATCGAGACCTGGACTTGGATATGGACTTACAGGGGTCAGGAAAACCTGAGGATGGAGGAGGCCGAGAACCATCAGGCTCGTCTTTCACCAGTGACTCCACCACAGACCTGCGGCCACCCTCGCCCATCAACCTGCGTCGCAGCATAGATGAGGCCCTCTTCAGTGAGGCCCTCTTTCCCATGAGCCTCTTCAGCCCTTCTAGGCCCATTCGCCTCAGTGACATATCCATAAACAACCACAGTGTACCTCCCAGCAGCAGCCTGTGTGATCCTCTCACAGCTGACTCCAGCCTTTATCGGACTTCTTCCTGCGTAGAGATGGCCTGTCAACCCCAGCCCCCCATCACCAAACCTCAAGGAGAAACCGTCATAGGTTCTCAACTGTCTCCCTCCCTCTCCTCCTCCTCCTCCAGCTGCTCATCTCCTGAACGTTGGAGGGGCAGTTCCTCCTCATGTTCATTCTACAGAGCCTCTCTCGGGGGCTCCTCACTGGTCCTCTGCCCAAGCCCAGAGAGACAGGCTCAGCAACTTCCCCATCGAGGGGACACAGGCCACGTGTCGTCCACTGGCCACCAGGCCCACACTGACCCACAGAGGCACTATCATACTCTGGGCGCGGCCTCACAGGAGAGCCTGGACCTGGACATGTCATCGGAGGCAGACCGATCGGTGCAGGAGGAGTTCATCAGTGTTTGCAGACAAATCGATGCTATGAGCATCTGCAGTGAGACGATTGATTTATAAAAGGACACAGAATGGTCAAACGAGGGTTACACTGAGGTCTCAGCCAGAAGGTTTTGTGCAGCAAATTGACTGTCATGGCTTTTATAGCCTATTTGGTAGTGCATGGTAGCTTTTGCGTAAAAAACCCAGAGCTGCCAAAATGTTTTTGGTGGTTGATAAGCTTTGTGTGGTCATTAGTGAATGTCTTAAAGGGTTAAAGTGCCAAGAATGTCAAAAGCCAAAAGGTCATTTGTAACTTTTTACATGTTTGATAAAGGACGGTGAAGTTTGATACAGAAAAAAAAACATGGAGATAGCAGGATTTTATTCGTACAATGTTTGTATTGCTTTCTGACATTCCAATAGATAGTACTGTGACTGAATTAAGCACTTATTAAATACTACTGAAGTAATACACATTCACGTTCAGCAGAATATTACTGTCGTTTAATGTCATGTTGAAATACTGGGATTGATATTAAGTTTAGTGAATCATGAACTCTACAAACCAATATGCTACTTTGAGTTATGGTGCAACGGCACCCTCTACTGGCAGAACATCATACTACCTTTTCCCTCTGACATTTATCACAGATGGACTGAGCTTCTACTTCCTCCTCCATGACTTGCTTACTAATTTATTTATGCTCAAATATAACTTTTGCTGAACACACTGTTTAATAAAGTTTTGTTTTTATAATTTCTGCCTCATTTGACTTCCTATCCTGGAACGCGTCACGGCGGCTCGTGTTAAATAAGACAGTGGTCCAAACACAGTTTTATTTATTTATTCTTAAACATATTGAACAGCAAAAAGCAACTTTTCTCTTGTTGAGTGTTATTACTGTAAACATGTTCTGAAGTGATACTCCTCAAAAAAAAGTTGATCTGTTGACGACCGAGTCTTTTCTGTCCATCCAAGAAGCTCTTTGTTTTGGCTGTTGGTTGCAGAGGCGTCCACTATGACAACTTTAACAACAACAACAGCAACAGTATATTGAAGTTTAAATCATAGAAAGCGCAACACTAACATCGTACTAAATCTGTGCTTTTTGGATGGACGAACAGGACTCTTGACAATAAGACATTTTAAAAGAACCTGAATTATGTCTTTAGGTGGGAGACTGAGAACAAGCTGCAGTCATTTAACTGAATATAGATGTATATATATATTTTTTCATATATTGCCATGTACATTTTCTCGCAATTCATTCCAACAGCAAGACGAGTTAGTCGAGTGAACCCTGTGCAGGATTACGTACATTAGGGAAAGCAACTAGACTCTTACACTCTGGGAGATTTTATAAAAAAAGAAAAATACAGCTGGCAAAAAAGAACATCCAGTATGAAAATGTTAGAAAAGCCTACTCCTACATCAGCTGAATGGTAACAACACACAGCGATACTGTTACAAAGTAAGAAAAGGAGGCGAGGGTGTGTAGCATTATGCATTTTCACGGAGCTGTCATCTGCAGCCTGTATCAATCCCTGTTTCAAGGCATATCTCTGGTAAAAAAAAAAAAGCCTGTCACACAGAACCTACTGTGAGAGAGCGCAGGAATGAGCAAGTGACGAGGAAACAAGCGACTTCTTGTGCGGATTTTGGTTTTGAAGTTACAAAAGAAGAGTGTCAGAGAAAGTGTCAGAACACTTGGCAGTATGTATGCAATTACAATTAGGCAGAATATAAATACAGCCATGTCTGGCTTTCGTGAAAAAACGAACATGCATATCAAAAACCCTTCATGCTCAGTTCAAGGCCCCCAGAAACTAAACAGGTTTAATAGAAAGTCTGATCTAAAAGTTTTCAAATAAAGAGCAGAGAAATGATCATAGTCTTCATTATTTACTATTTTTGATTGATACACTTTAGGTTGTTTACTTTCAAACACACCTGATCTTCAGCTTTTTGGTCCCTTCCGTGCTCAACATATGAACACAACTCACTGAGATAGGACGCTGATTATTTGGCTCAACATGTCTTTGAGGGGAGAATGAAATGTCCACAGCGGTAAAGACTGTGGGTCGAGATAGATCGACTGATTTCAGGTTGACGGTGGAGGAAATGATGTAGCCAGCGTGACTGCCTCAGCCAAATGTCTCGTACCTAATGATCCACCATACACAAAGTAAACATTATGCACTGAAATATAAGCAGCTACCGTTGATTGAGTAGCTTAAATCCTTGATGACGTATAAACACAAAAAAAGGAGAAAAGAAAGGGAAGTTTGCCATGATACACATACACACAAGTGTTTCATCTTGTTTTCTGCACACGCACGAGTGTGTTTAAGAACTAGGATGCGTGAATCTTCCGACAGAGAGCTTTGCTGGTCAGCGTGGAAGCCGAAAAAATAAAATGCAGATGGAGATTGCACCATGGCTGTTTTAGACTCAATAATAATAATAAGGGGACAAAAGAGGACACATTTAAACTATATCTCTCACGCTCCTCACTTCATTCAGACAGTCAGTATCTCACACACACACATACACAATTGGGATCAGGCTGCAAACTCAAGATACAGGTGTGTATGTCATTCTGAAAACCCTGATGCGCCGCTTCTTGAGTGCAAAATCCCAGGTGTTCAGAGAGTCGGTGTCAGTTTGGTGATTCTCACTTCGCTACCGTGCGTCTTTCTTTCCCGGACCAAGCAGGCGGTCGGGATCAGAGAGAGAGCAGCAGTGGATACAACAAGGAGAAGGAGGAGGAGGAGGGCCAGAGAGGGTGCAGGGGGTGGTAACGGATTTTTGTGTGGGGCATTGTTATATCGAGCGTGCTCACGTGCACCGCCGATGTTTACTCCAGCCACCTCACCCCTGTTCAGTAAAGCCGCTTCTCGTAACTGTGGAAGCGAAGACACATGGAAGAAAGATCAGCGTGTGCTCGAATAGAAAAAACAGGATTTCTGTGGAGACTTTACCAACTGCTAATAATAATAATAATAATAATAATAAAGATAATAAACTATTTCTATGGTGGCTTTCAAAACTGGAGTTACGAGGTGCTTCACAATATCAAATATATAGGAGCAAAGTTATAGAAAAGACAGATTATACTATGCATGCAATAAAACACTTAAAAAGAACAATAAATCTAAATTTAATCATAAAAGCAAATAGTAAAAACCGCAATAGTTTTTGTTGCTTTGGTTTTTTCTTGCAACTATAGAGCAGCTTTACTTTCACTTCTAGCTAATGTCATTCATCTATCAGGCTCTGAAGCAAAGCTGTTTATGAGCAGTAAGAACAATTTAAATCATCATACACCTACAGAGGATCTTTGTTACTTACGAGTGGAGACCGTGAACGCCTCCCTCCACCTGTGCAGACATGGTTCGCTTCTCAAACTTCAGCTCACCGGAGTACATCATGGAACTAAAGTAAAAAACAAATGTTCTTCATTATAATAAGAACAGCTGACATTTGTATTGTGACCATTAATCCACAAAAATACAAACTACCCACCGGAGGACAGAGAGACTCTTTGCCCCGATGTCCTGGCAGCCATGTTGGATCCCAGCTATCAGGTACGGTACAAACTTGTGGATGGACCCCTTGTCCTGCACCGAGCCCGACACGCCCTGGGCTACCTTCACCTTGTCGCCCTCGCTGTGGAAAAGACATCACACACTTAACACTCTCCCCGCAATTTGGCTTTTCATGACTCGTGACCTCTTAACATACCTAAAGTAGCGTTTCTGGCTGCTGGTGCTCTTCTCCATAGCGTCCAGGGAGCCCATGCCGCGATACTTTTTCAGCCGCACGCCGTCTGAGAAGAAGTACTCTCCTGGAGCTTCAGTGGTTGCCGCTAGCAATGAGCCCATCATAACTGGCGTGGGAGACGGGAGAGAGTTATGTCTGCGATCTTGTATTGGTCAACCTGACCTCATCACTGAAGGTATAAACCACTTTGTTGGCAGGAAGATGTTACGACAGTGCGTGTCACAATCTTTGTAATCTCACCAGTCGACGCTCCCAGTGAAAGCGCCTTCACCACATGACCCACGGTCTGTATGCCACCATCAGCAATGACTGGCACACCGAAACGTCTGGCGTACTCCGCTACCTTGTACACCGAGGTCCCCTGGGGCCGCCCACACGCCATGACTGGAAGGGAGATAACGTAATTTAATATAATCGCCATGGAGACAAATCACACAGCATGCCGAGGTGATGCAGAAGTTTGGACGAGCGGGACGCAGCGTCCATTTCACTGAGCTTCTTCAGGTTCATGTCGTTTGTGCTGAAACATGTCTCCTCTGTTCTCGCTGATGAACGTGACCTAGTCTGAGCATGAGGCTGGTCCCCATGGCAACCCAGAACAGGGCCTTGGTAGATCACCATGACAACTAGGAGTGGTCTCAGGGTATTTGTTACTGCTACCAGCTGATCGCCTTTCCTTCTTCTGGTATTACTGATGAATTAACTGAATATTATACATCAACTTCCTAATGCTCCTATATTTCAGTGTGCAGCTGCTCACATGGTACCAGGACAAAGATAAAACGAGCTGCGACTGCGTTCAGGAGGTGACACAGTAAAACAGATCAGTACCTTCCTGTGTGATGCAGATGGAGCCACAGCCCATTCCGACTCTTAACGCATCCACACCAGCATCGATCAGGTTCTTGGCCTGGGCTGCTGTAACCACTGCAGGTGGAGAAACAGGAAAGAAAAGTATTCGATTTTGGGGATATTATAAAAAGTTTGATGATTACAAAACGTATGCCCTTTGTCTAATGCTTTTTTCCCCCCCCACACAAGTACATAATTACCTCCCCCAAGGAAATGGAACAACAGGGTTTTTTAACCCACGCTACTCAGAGAAATTCTAATTAATAATGGAACAGAAACAGACTCACCGTTTCCTCCCGCCACCTGCAACTCTGGATGCTTCTGTTTAATATAATTTATCATGTTGATTTGATACACCGAGTTGCCTTGTGACGAGTCCTAGAAATGCAAAAACATTTTTGGTTTAAGTACATTCAGTTCACTGTTATTTATAAAGACAAGAAACAATAATTGGCAACATTTTGGGGCTTTGAGATCATTTACAGAATCAAATATTTAAAAACTCTATTGTTCAACTCTTTACTAATTCAACACGCACCAGTACAACAACATCCACTCCAGCCTGCACCAACAGGTCCAGTCTGTATTTGTCGTCCTCTCTGGTGCCGATGGCGGCGCCACATAGCAGCTGTTTGCGTGAGTCTTTGGAGGCCAGCGGGTAATCCCTGTTCTTCTTCAGATCCGTCCTGGCAATAATGGCCACCAGCTCGTCGTTATCGTTCACAATAGGAAGTTTGCCTGGTCACAGAGAGAGTGAAGGACAGGATGATAAATTACATTCTAAGATAAATAAATAAATACTTGCTTTATTTTATGCACAAAATTGTATTCACCTTTTTTACTGCGCTGCAGAATATCATTAGCTTCTTTCAGCATTACACCAGCTGGAGCCACAACCAACTCCTCCCTCTTAGTCATGGCCTAGAAGATCATCGGCAGATGAATGTAAGAATTACAAGGGATGCCAATAAAAACAAATTTCAAGTGATGAATATATGAAACAAAATATGAAAGATACACACCTCCTCCAGGGGTCTGTTGTGGTCTTTCTCAGAAAGAAAGTCGATATCTCTGGAGGTGACGATGCCGACCAGTTTGCTGCCCATTTTGCCTGTCTCTGTGACAGGAATACCAGAGAAGCCGTGTCTTACTTTGGCCTCAAACACATCCCCAATCGTGTGGCGCGGACTCATCACAACTGGGTCTGTGATGAAACCCTGCTCAAACCTCTGGAAGCCAAAACCAAACATAAATATTTGAATTATTGTTTCTATTTCCCTCTCGATTTATGCAGAGCAGCAAGAGCAGGTCAAAGTCAAAGTACACACGACACACAATGATAATTGAACAGTGTTTTACGAATACAAAAATTAAACAAACACACACAAACTAAAGGCAACCTTAAAAGATGACAAACACCCTCAACTTTACAATTACGAAATGAGAAATAATTTAAAATAACAGAAACAAAATACAACCCAAGAAACAATACAACTCTACGACAACACACGAGTGAACAACATAACTACAGTAGTTATCTGCTATGAGGGATAATCTTCGTTTACCTTGACCTTGCGGACCTCGTTGGCTTGAAATTCTGGCGTGCAGTTGTGGTGAATGATGCCGATGCCTCCCATTAGCTGCCAGATTCAAAATGCAAAAGGATAAGTGGATTTGAGGATGATCAAATTCTTTTTAACGATAGCGTTTTCAGCGAATCGTCATCTTACCGCCATAGCGATGGCCATGGCCGACTCTGTGACGGTGTCCATGGGGGAGGAGATGAGAGGGGTCTTCAGGGTGATCTTCCTGGTCAGTGCGGATGTCAGGTCCTGGAGACAAAAACAAGACAGTGATGCACATTGGAGTGCGTTTCTGACATTTTGTATATAATCCACTAGGGGGCGGAATGAACTAGCAAGATATACAGGACACTACTGTTGTTCCAAAGCGTTAAATGTGTTAAAATCTATTCCAGGGTAACAAAAGACCTAAATTAACAAAAGGCCAGTAAGTTCATTGAAAGCACACTTATGAGACAGACTCATTTTAACTAAATATTGGCTTTGGTGTGTCATTTAGGTTTTATCACCTCCACCGGAGGTTATACTTGCACTTGTGTCTGTTTATGTGTCCACAGGAACATGCAAAAACTAACTACAAAATCCCTGATTTGAATATGCACCAATATTTGATTAACTCTTCCATGCCTCATGTCCTACCGCTCCACAAAATGTCATGTAAACAAGTTGGGTAGTTAATGCAACAAAAAACAATTGGCGGAGGTGAATAATCATCAGACCACTTGCTTGTATCTTTTATAATTCAATTATAAAAGAGATATACGCTCCACTGAGGACCTTTCTAGTTTGTGAGTCAATCTAAACCTTTTTCCTTCCTGTCAGGGACCTAAACCTGAAAATGAGCCCTGCTACAGAATCTCCCACCACCAGATTTAATTTTCACGTCCCACCGATTCCCATAACAGTGACAGATTTTTGTTATCTTCAGCTGGAGGGACTGAAAATAATGACATTCCTTGCACATGAGTTTTAACTCCTTATCTGTGTCAGACATAAACTATGGAGGCTGTGTGCCGCTTTTCTCACAGGTTCATGGCGAAGGCGAGAGAAAATCACCTGAGAGCATTTCTCCATCTAGAGAGCAGAACTGCACTAACCTGCTACATTCAGCATCACACATCACGGCCCCAAGGAATTTCCCACAACAGCTCCTCTCACACGTGGCATTTTTTTTTTTTTTTTTTAAACAGAGTGAACCCTAACCTCCAAGCGCATAACTGAGCTTCAGTGTGTGGACAGTATTTTACTTCACTACCCAGTGAAAAACTAGGCCACGCTGAGACTCTAACCCATGACAACGCATTGAGGCAGACAAGCAGCTTGCACAGTTGAAGCAAAGGAGCTGGAGAACAGCGGGAGATTAGAGCTATCAATTAAATTAAAACCCTCCAGAATTGACAAAGCAGAAGAGAGGGATTTCATCTAAAGCCCGAGAGATTAACTCTGCCGTCATCTGCCGGGAGACGTGGACGAGCAGCCGACCAGACACAAATGTAAACATGAGGGTGAGGGAGCAGCCAGTGGGACCAGACCACAGAGAGCAAAAATAGCAGAGCAGCCAAGAGGAGAGGAGAAGTGATGCAGACGGTTTCACCCAAAAAGAAAACTATTTTTGTGAGAGCTGCAGTTACCAAAATGATCCTGAGGCCTATAGGAGAGGTTTGTTTAAAAAGAAGAAATTAAAAAGACTCAACTGTAATAAGGCTGATGGTTTAGGAAGTGGCTCTGCCAGGAATGGTCTGTCTGCTGACACTGCTTCACTTCATCATCCTGAGGGGTGTGGGCGGAACTGAAGAAACGATTGGCTTCTTCAAAATACCCATGAAACCTCGACTTAGATGTACTTGCAACAATTTTCTGGAATAATAACAGACCTCATAGTACCTCTTTTCAACAGATGTGAACCTGGTGCTGGTTCGGAGTTGTCTCAACTTATGTAAAAATGGTGGTCGATAATCCTGCCCCCAGCCCCTGACCTAAGCGGTTCCATCTTCTACACCAGCGCAGAGTTGGAGAACCAGTTCTTTGGCTGTGAAACTGGTTCAAGATCAGGCACTGGCTCCGAACCGGCCCCTGAACTGTGAGGTCATGTATCGCCGTACTCTCAGATATCTGCGATCGGTTGTGTACTCACCACTTCATCTGATGTGAAGTCGATGAAGCCGGGTAAAATCAGGAAGTCACTGAAAGACATTAAGAAAATGCAAAGATATTTTTTAATTCGTTACTGTACTTATTTTTCATGCATCTGTACTTAAGTAGATTTATCCTCGTGTACTTTTCACTTTTACTTCACTGCATATATGTGCAAATATACTTTCCACATTTTTACAAATCATTGCATTACAGTCACACACACAAATCAATTAAGGAAGAAGAATAGGTCTCCTGCAGCAGCGTCACAGCGCGGTAACACATACGCAAATATCTCGCTGACGAACCTCGAATAAAACATTCACTTCCTGTGGCGAGGCCAATCACATGTGTGACCGTGTCTTCACTGGGGAAAAATGGATTCAGACCAGGCCACCGCCGAGACTCAGCCTTTAAATACACACCATCCACAGTCATATTTAAAAGTTTGTATTATTCTTGGAGTAAATAAGTTGTACAGTCGGCACAGTTACTGATGTATTAGACTGTTGCATTAGGGAACAGGCTACACACAGCAAGTATTTTACAAAGCAGTACTCTTGCGTGGTGGGTGGGGAAATAAATAAATCTGAACCATCCACACTTGATAGGACACTGCGAGGGAGGAGTCCTGTCTGTTTCCCCTCGTTTTAACAACCCAAACACCAAACCAAACATAAAGGTCGCGTAGGAGGCGCAGCACACATCTGCTAGCTTTTAGCAGTGGCCGCAAACCTCAACTGCAGCACACAGGCCGAGTTTACAGACTCTGGGTCAGCGCTGCAATCGGCCTAGTTATAGTAAAGAAAACGCAGGCTTGGAGATTATTATAGTGTTATAATATGACTGTTAAGGCGAGAACTGGTCTTACCGGCTTCTACAGTTTGTTATATATGTATTGTATGTCCACACCCACAAGAAGCATCTGGAAGCATTGCTCCAAGTTTCTTTTAAAGCAGATAGTCTTTTAAACGTGCCTGATTTCTTTCATCAAGATCCATTAATTATTCACAGAAAACACCATATTTGGAAATATCGCTCCAATATTTTAGGGGTCTTCCCTGACGTAACACATGCTTCTACTGAGATTTGAGGAAATCAGTCCAGTCCTTTTTTTAGGGAAAGCTGAAAACTTAACAACAAACAAACGGGGTCAATGATTAACATTTGTTCATCTGATTTCTATCCCTTTATTTGGTTTGTGTATCAAAATAAAAGCAGACATTAGACTAGCTACAGTTGGCAGAGGGAATATAACTGCCACTGTCTGCTCTGTTGTGCTTGTAACACACCAACTAGGTTAACACTACTCTATTATCAAGATTTAACTGGAGCTCTTTGGAACTTGCCCTTAAGGATTTCAAAAAAAGTGAGACAGGCCATCTTAAGTACAGCTCGTGACCATGTGCTCCCGTGTGTGAGGGTTTAGTCAAAAGAATATGGGTGAGCTGAAACCCTCAGAGTTGTGTGAATGGGAAAGACAAAGAGAATGAACCTAAAACCAACCTATACCTATAAATGATGCATGAGAGGGACTTTGGAAATTGAATTACAGGGATGTTTGTAGACGTTATAAAAGGTTGAAACACAGGACAAGTGGCTTGTACAGACTCATTCATCCTCAGACCAACCCAATTCACGCCAATTGCTCCTGCACTTCACATGATGTTAATTCAGGCCATCATGTGCGCAGAATTTCCTTTAGTCGTGATGCGCTTGATTAAAGTGTGGCAGACGTTCTTCAATCACACGTGGACACACTCAAACATTGTTATGTTTTCTATTCAATTAGCTGCTAAGGAGCAGCAGGAGCAGCAGGAGCAGCAGGAGCAGCACTGCTTAAAGGGAAAGACTTAGAAGAAGAAAAAAAAACCTTTCAAAATGACTTTTAAAATGATTTGTTGGCTTAAAACAACTAATGGAAAATTATAAATCTCACAACAGCAATGTTTGAAAGAACATGAAATAGTAAACTGTCCTTCTGGCTGTGTGCCTGTCAGGTCACGGTCAGCGTGAACGAAACAGGGCTACACGTCATCACTGGCAAGCATAGAGGCAACTGGCAAGAAAAGTAGATGTGGAATCAAGCTTTCCAAGAAAAATTTACAAAGATTAAGAATTTTTCTTTGGTGAATTAATAGTGTCAGTGTGCTCACAGTGAATCTGAAGAAAAAGTCTTGAACATCAGTACAGCTGGGAAAAATGCAGCTAAACTGGGCGATTTGGGGCGAAGTTAATGCTCTCCTGTAAAGTCCTGCAGCTTTCACAAGACCACAAACTGACAGAGAGACAACATTCGTTGGTGCCTCCTGTGGCTGCTTAAACTGGACAAAGTCAAATAAAGATTCATACGTTGTGTGCAAACGCTGAGCATTTTCCAACAAAAGGCTGCTGAGTGCACAGGTGAGTTTGCAAAACTTCTTCACACGTCTGGTTTCAGGACATTGAAAGTAAACCAAGGAGAGTAAACATATCTGTTGAGCTGTTTTACTTGAACAAGCTGATCTGCTTGGTGTTTATGACTTCGCTCAAACACTGAATGACACAAACTTGTGAAAAACCCAAATTAGAGAGACAGTGTAAATCCCACATACACGCAATGTATGAATTTCACAGTTTAGTTTGGCTCTTGAAGGATGTCATGAAAACTGAAATGGCCCCCGATTGGAAAAAGGTTCCCCACCCCTGTCGTGGCAGCACCTGTGGCAAAACATATTCACATAACATAAACATAGGAGTTAAAGCACAGTCATCACGTTTGGAGAAAGTTTTAGTTCAGCAAAAGCAAAAGGTAAGAAAAAGAGGCATGCTTCATGCTTGTGTGTCCAACAGCCACTGCAACCGCGATGGATAACGTACTTGTCATTAATTATTAAGGAAATAAAAAATGAGGGATTTGTTAAGAAAATGATCTTAGCCAGAATATGTGATGATTTTTAAAGCATGTGTCACCAGAATGCTTACGAGGAGTGCGTGCTGAGAAATAGTGTCACTAACAAAGTGCACAAGCTGTTCCATCATGCACACAGGACAGGTCGTGCACTGTGATGTTAGTTGAAGTCAATAATGCTGTCACGTCTACTGGAAGCAAATTTCATCCCCATGACCAAGTTCAGGTCGAGCGATCCAACAAGCACTCAGCTTATCTTCTGTATTCATGCACTTTAAAAAGACTCCAGATTCACATTTAGGTTTTGGTTTGTCTCACTCGAAGTAGAGTTAGGACAGTCATTTGCTTCCCTCTTTTGAATTCATCATTTGGAGACACAAAGGATTTTAAAGGGCACAGTTTCAAAACAGTTGGAAGATGACTTGTTTTACTCACTTGTAAGTCAACCCATCTCCTTTAGAGCATAGCTCTTCAGCCGTTTGACCGTCGGAGACAACACACTGTTGGTCAGATCTGCTGGTTCAAAATGCGTTGGCCATTACAATGCACCGTGCGTACACTTCACCCACCGTTGCGCGCAGGTGAGGTTTTAAAAATCAGGAGACCTCACTATGAATTGTTTTTATTACTGAACTGAGATTTAAAGGAAAAAAATCTGTGATAAGGAAACTCACTTGTATGTGAGGCCGTCTCCGATCGAGAAGAGCTGCTGAGCCGAGAGTCCATCTTCAGGTACGTAGCCCGTGCCGCCGCTGATCAGGTAATCCGCCATGCTGCCAAATAACAAGGAGAGCAACTTCAATCAACTGTGCAGCTCGACAATCACATAACAGATGCTCATGTTACAGACAGTGCCAGGACGCTCCGCCAGAACACTAGACATCCCCTTCGCAGGCAGAGCTTTAATGACCTTCTCACAAAAAGACATAACCATGGCAACATCAACATCCCTCAGGCAACATCAGGTCAGAGCGCCTGTGCAGCAGGTGCCAGATGCTTCCTCCTCTTATGAAAACATTAACAGTCATGTGATAACGTCGGGCTGAGAAAAGGCCTCTTCAGAGAGCTGGAGAGAGTACAAAAACGATGCTGGAGATTTGTTAGCATCCCTTCGTCCTCTCTCCCATCACTAAAACAAAAGACATTAACTCTTATTCCTCGTTTCCTAAAACTGTCTTAAGCTGATTTGGGAACTCCTGACATTTGCCAGAGGGGCTGTAAGTTACAGTCTGAGCCGAGCTCTCCTGCTGAAGATCTGAAGAAAGTCCAGACTCCTTTTCTCTTCATGCTATAATTGTCTTATGAATGAGTTGACTTTTGGGTGGTTTTACATTCTTGAGATTCATTAATATGAATTATTTAATAGTCTTATTAACAATATGATTTTGTGCTAAGAACTGTGCTGTGCACAAAACAAAACAAAATTGAATGTTGATAAAATAACAATATGAAGATAACTCAGAAGTATCTCTGCATCACAACTATTAAAACCATTGTTGTTTACAGATCACAAATTGGAAAACAACAGGATGTCAACAAACGCATCAGGAGTCCCCACACGACCGCGTGTCCCAGTAAAACATGACCGTGTGACCCACTGACTCCAACCCGGACCACTGAGCAGGGGGCGCATGGTTTGCATTAATGCTGAATAATATACAATGAATAAATTACAGTCTTCATCACTTTGCTGGAGTGAATTTTCTATTTACATGACTTTACCAGAAGCTAACAAACATTAGTTACACACACTCCTCGATATAAACCAGTTGGCCCAACTGTGTTTGTGCAGTGACACACAACAACAACAACAACAACAACGCTACAGCTGACAATCCATGTTAGCATCTGTCACAGCTCAGTCGCATCATATCATCAAAACACCGTTAGCTTACACGTCTGTGCATTTAAGCTAACGTTAGCCTCGATGCATTTTTACTGTAGCAGGTGACCCATCGCAATAAGTTGAAATTCCACAACGATTCATTGTGTATTGAGTCTTAAACGCAGGCCAAATTGAAGGGAGGCTCCCGTCACATGCGAAACAATCGATGATATTTTACTAATCGGATTAGGTTAGTTATGAGGACAGAGACAAAAAAAATTTTGTCGAAACGCCTACGGGGCTTTGGTGCCGCGTTCGAGGGTGCACGTCAGGCTTCTTTCCAGCCGCATGTATTGGATGCAGGTTGATGATGACTGATGACGAATATATATCTCAGATGTTCAGGAGGGCAAAGCGGGTGCTGTTACTTTATGTTCTGTAACATTAGAGGTAACATAAGTTAAATAAATGAATTGAAAAATCAACCCAAGCGAAGCTCCAGATAATAACAGCTGTTTTTAAGTAAACACTACAACAATATCGTTAAAACTACCCGTTAAGCTAGCCGTGTTTCATCAGCCAGCTGCTAACGTGGCTGGAGCTTCATTCAGCCACGTGAATTTTACATTTAAAAGGCAAATTTAGCAAAAGAGTTGGACATAAATAAAGAGCATTTCAATGCTGAAGCAGCCACTTACTGCCCGGCTACACCTCACGGGGCTCCGGCTGCGGTGTTAGCTCGTCGAGTCTTAAACTCAACATCACACGAAGCCGACACATCTGCTGCAGATGTGCGAAGAACGCGCACACGTGAAGTTTCGGGAACAGCCGCGTCCAGACATGTGGGTGAGAGCGTTAGCATTTAGCATTAGCAGCGGTTATTTTAGCCTCGCGTAGAAAAAGTAAAAAAAAAGGGGGAAACTTCAGACTTTACGGCTTTTTCTCTTCTCGAGCTAACAACGCGTTTTAAAATTGGCAACTACGTCTCTAGCGTAAAACTGCGACGCCTTGTCCACCACCACCCCCCCTCCTCCTACCGGAACCGAGTAACGTTAGCTTGTAGCCGCGAGAAGCTGATGATGCCCACGTTGACGGAGGAAGGAGGCAACTTTCCCCGGAGTGAACTCAGGCTGGAGGACGGAGGATTGTTTTTCTTTTTACCTGGAAGGACAGACTGGATGAAAACACCGCGTGGTCCCGAGGCGCGACAGTGCAGGTCTGCATGTAAAAGTGGAGAGAGGAGAGAGTGTGTGTCCGTGTGTGTTGTGTGTGTGCAGACGGTGTGTGTTGCTGTTATGTACGAGCAGCAGCAGCGTCACATCCCCTGTCTCCAGTCAGAGGCGTGTTTAACCCTCTGCGTCCTGGTGTGTGTGTGTGTGTGTGNTGTGTGTGTGTGTGTGTGTGTGTGTGTGTGTGTGTGTTTATTCCTGACTGATTATCTCATCTTATCTTTAGAATCAAGTCCCCGTAAATACTTTTCTATTAATAAATCTATGTCATCACATTTTAAACTGAAGACACGTTTTAAGGTCAGGTTAAAATAGAGATTAGGATTAGGGTAAGGCAAGTAGTAACCATGGTTTTACTTGGGTCGAGGTTAAATTTAGGTCTAGGTATAGATTTAGGTTAGGGTAATGCAAGCTCGAAGGATAATCACCGTTACATTTAGGGTAAGGCAAGTGGTAACTTTGGTTAAGGGTTGGTTTAACTTCAGGTAAAGTCAGCGTAATGTCCTCTGAAGTCCTGAAGACACAACTGTGTGTCTGTGTGTGTCAGACATCTCCTATATTGCTCAGGTACTTTATTTGATCACATCCATTATTCATCTCTATGCATCCACTAGATTTAAAATGTAAATATTGCACTTGCACATATAGTATTTCTGCATGAAGATTCAGAATGATCAGAAATTGTCTCACCCAAACAAGAACACACACACACCCAAAATAAATCATCGAGTATGAAACACACAAGTGAAATCTGATCCCTTCCATCATACAATTCAACTAATCAAACAAATGTTGAAATAAATAAAACATATCAAATGAACGGCTGAGACACTAGCACCTGTAGGGGGATAATCAGCAGCAGCGAACCACAAGATAAAGTACTTAAGTGCATTATATAAAAAGAACATCTGCTTTATTGCCCTTTATTAAAAGCATGCCGTGTGGCCCGCAGTGCTAGATTAAGAGTATTCAGGAGTATTTAGGTACTACTGAGAACTATACTGGAATCTGTTGTTTAGCACTTTTTTAAACACTTTTCAGTCTCTAGTGAGAAAAGAGAAAATTAAAAAGGCAGTTAGATGGGTCGGTGGGGTCCTTTAAAATTCTATTAGCCTTAGATTTCACATGCAAACATTAAACTCATTATCTTGTAAAATATTGTGTTGTCATACATCAATCTTTGGTATCTGATGACAGTTCCGGACATGACTTTAATTACTTTTAAGAGAGTAAATCATGTGGCTGAGTCATTCTCTCAGATGTGTAGAAAAGTGAAGACAACGGGGTATTGATTTCCTCCCTCAGAGTGAAAAAAAAGCTCCATGCCTATTTTAACCTAGAGAAACATTATGTTGAATTTAGGAGCCCCTGCTCTGAATTTTGATCACATGTCAAATCATCTAAACTGGATTAAGCGTAGTGAAAGGCCAGAGCCGGCCCCTTTTTACTCACACGATAACAGCTGGAATAAGCTTGCAAAAGGTTTTGTCAGGGAACTTCAGGGCCATTTTTTATTTCTAGCACCAAAAGTAAATGTAGTATACAGGTGTTCACAGATGTTTATGGCAGGAAATTAAGGGAATTTAAACCATGAAAATAATATTGGTAATTAACTGCTGGGAAATCTTATGATAAAGGAAGCAAGGAAGGGAGGAAGTAAAGAAGGAAGGAAGGAAAGAAGTCTTCTTTTAGGAATGGAGTACATAAGCAATGCCAAACATTGCAAAAACACCTCATCATGCTTAAGACGATAGGTTGTAAGTCACTTGTCTTAAAGCAAATAACATAAAACCTTCCCAGAATTCAGTGCTCACACATGCCAGCTCACATTACTTGTCCTGACAGTGTGCTGCTCTTCTCTTCAAGCTGTCAGCGGCGCAACAGCAGAATCAAATGTTTTAAGACCGGTTTGTCAGGAAAAAGAGGGAAGTAGTTTTCCTGTTTTACGAATTGGTCACTTCAACGACACCAAGAGCTACTTTTAAATGTGTTTTCAGCAAATCACAAATCAGTCTCCTCAATCTTCAGCAGAGCAGCAGCACCATCATCATATTTTCTTTTGCAATGTGTAGCATAATGAGGTTGCTTATTATGGCACAGTGAAAACAACTGCAGATCCTGCCTGTCAGAAATTAGGGGTGGGATTAAGGTCTTCCCTGTATCCCCGGTCCTCCCTTGTTCTATAATAATCTGAGGTGAGGGTTCCTGGATGTGTCTGCAAAAGGTGACAAAGGTAGATCCGTTTCCCCGCCCCTGTGTCTGTGTCAAATTACATGTGGGTCGTTGCATGTATCGGTCACTGGTTCCTTTATGCACTGTTGCTATTCTGAGCGCTCGATTCAGCCTTGTTCATCCGCCCTGCAGCACGCCGCTCGCTCACTCTCTCCTGCCTTGATGATGCATCGTGGAATTGTGAGTGCGCAGGAGGGGCAGGGGAGCAACGATAAAAATAGGACCTGGCAACTTAACATCTCTGCTTTGTTGTTTCTTTTTTACATGAGCATCTGCTCACAAGACTAGAGTGTTATCCACGAGGCCGTCACACATCTCACGAATAAAGTGCGTCACCCAAAGCATGGAGATTTAACTACACGAGGGGCATTTGCAAGCTGATCTTAATGCGAGTGTGAGTGGACGTGTAAGCCGACCCAGTGGCATGAAGCTGATTTACATGTGCAGCGTCATGAAGGTGCAGCCAATCAGAGAACTGACGGGGCATCATTATCTTTTATTGTATAATGGGCTTTGACATTTAGGATTGAAAAGAATATTCTACTTGTGCAAAGTCCTTTACACAAGGACTGATTTTCTTTTTTTATAGTGTGACCATTCATTCAAATTTCTGCAGAGATCTAAATAACAGCTCAGAAACTCGTTTGTGGCACATGAATTTAAAAAAAACCAACCTACACACAGTGTGAGTTACACCTGAAAGTTACTAATTCTCCCCCGTGTTTCCCACTAACTCACCTCTCTGGGCCAAGACCGGCCTGGATGCGGGTAGCACTGTATCTCTGGGCTGCAGTCTCATGTCCATGGCCGTGTGAGGTCTGCCGGAGGTACTGTTCACCTTCCCGGGATCCAATGTTCGCAGGTGGCAGCTGTGTGTCCCCCACAATTCTCCGATAATCTGCCTGCTGGCTCTCCCCCTCTCTTTCTGCAATGAAGTGCTCATAACCATACCCCTCCATCCTCTGTCCAAGGTCGGTCTCTGAGTCCAGTGGCCCTCTTTTCTTTGCTTTGCAGCCTTTCACCAGTTTTTCTTGTTTTCAAACAGACAAGGTTTCCACCAGCTGAAGGTCACGTTGGGGTCCCAGTGATTTTTGGGTTGAAATCCCTGTTATTATATGAGCTTCACAACCAAAAGTTTAGCAAGTTTGGAAGTTACATTTTGTAAAAAGAACAAATGCAAACTCCCCATTTGTGTCTAATCTTCTTATCTGAATTCCTTTGCCTGCTCTGTTTATGCTGCTGCTAACTTCCAGACTAGATACACAGGTGTTCCCACAGAGACAGAGAGAAATGCAAAAAAAAAAGACCAAGCAGTGGCGGGTGACTCCTTCTGCTCCTGCACAGGATGCACCTGCCTACAAAAAGGCACCGGCCACCTCTAGGCGTGTCAATAGAGGGCGTCACCTAGGAGATTCTCCCACTGAGAGGGTGTTGCTGTGGTAATGATGCCAGCAGCAGAGCGTTGTTGTTGTGGTGAGGCGGCTGTGCTGATGTCTTTGAAATAGTGGAGGAGATAGTGGAGGAAAATTAAAAGGGCAGGACACAGCACTGTACTTACATGTTGGATAAAGCCGCCGTGGCCCCCGAGCGATTCTCCACAAGTTGAATGGAGCGAGCGGCCCTGTCCCGCTGAGTGCTCCATGCATGAGGCTCCCTCCATGTCTTCCTCCCCCTCCACGCATCAGTTAATCCTGCTTTCTATCTATCGGCAGCACCATGTCACTTTCACAAAGAGGATTTTTTTTTTTTTTTTGCATTAGAATGAACAGGACCAGAGACACGTGGTCCAAAGAGAGCAGCACAGTTTCTACAGCTCAGGCAGCAAGATGGTGGTGTGTTGCTTTTTATTTTTCTGCAAAACCAAACAGGAAACATGTAAATTAATCTCCTCTTTCAGGTTGGACTTGTTTTGTTTTTTAAGGCCTCGTAGAAAAGCCTGAGGCCTGTGGTCAGACTTATGATCCAACATTGACATTGCTGAGTGAAGCTTGCACCAAAGTGTCAGTGTTGCATAATGACCCCAAACAAGTTCAAAAGCACTTCAAGAGACTGCTGCACCATTGATTCCACATGTCAAACTGGCTCTTTTTCAATCACACCTATAGCAACCTGTAAACATATATATATATATATATATATATATGGGATGAATGTGTTGAATTGTTCCATTTTAGGAAACTGTTGTTCTCGATTAAGGATCCTCATCTAAAGAGGTTGCCCCCCACACACACACACACTTGGGGCCCTCGCTCTTCTCAAAGGGATCACCTCCAGGTGACTGAATGTTTGTGACAGCTGCTGGGACGTTAAGATGGAAAATCCTCTTAGCCTGTCCTCTGAGGCTCCAGTAAGTTCCCCACTTACAACTCACTGCCATCCTCGACACATGTTAATGGAAACCCCTCACCCACACAGCGCCGATAACAAATCTTTTAAATCAAGGCTTTTAATATTGGACAGATGTCTTTATGTTGATGTGTAATCTGTAAAGACGAATGTGGTGATGCTGCTGTCGTTTCTGAGTTTAGATCTACGCTGCTGTTCCTCCCTAAAACCTGCGTCATCCATGGCATTAAAGGGTTTGTGTCACATGCAGGAGCGACGGGAGGAGCCCACTCTAAATTTCACATGTGTGTCCTCACTCAATCACTTAATCATAATGACTGTCATGTGCGCAGTGTCGGCAGTCATTGAAGGGCTAAAACAAATCTGAGTCATAAGATTTAACACAAGGGTAACCATTCCCAACAAAAGAGCAATCCGTGTGTGTGTGTGTGTGTGATGAAACATCTCTAAGATGATCTAGTACAGTTGTAATAGTTTCACGTCACACGACTCTGAAGCAGCACAAGACTTGACTTAAGCAATTGTGCAACAGATACAAGGCTCTGTAAACTGTTTTATTTTGTAACAGTGTGTAACAATTTTACCTTTTTAAGTATAATTTAAATTGAGTTTTATTTTTACTGTAATTGCTGCAGTCTGCAGGGTTTCTGTGGGGTCTTAAAATGTTGAAAGTTTAAAATCTGAATTTTCATGTTAAAAAAATATCTAGGCTAAAGTTCGTGGTATTTGACTCACTTTGAAATTCGTTGCTAGTTATTTTTTAAGACAAACCTTTTGGTGGCGTGAATAGTTTGAAATATCTTTGTATGTTGTTGTTCCTTCTAAACAAAAAAAAAGACCAAGGTGGAACTGATAACGGAGTCTACAAACACCCAGGTGAGAATTAATGTCACTCAAAGCACAACTTCTGTCTGGAGTTTGTGACATAACTTGGTATGTTAAATTAAAGTAATTCTTGGACTCTGATATTCCTTCTTATCTCTAGTACTTGACAAAGGTCTTAAGTTTGAATCAATACAGTCATAAAACTGTCTTGAATTTAACTTGTTGAAACCTGCAGAAATCCTGAGTTCAACATTTCCTGTTAGAACAGTTGCATCTTGTTTTCTGTGGCTCTGGTGAAAAGCTTTATAAAGACAGAGACAGTAAAAACCCAGTCTGAGTTACTCAGGCTAAAAAATGTGCTGTTGGGCGACCGCCACCTACTATTCTCTGTGCACAGTGTTCGTACTCATCACATATACATTCACCACAAAGCACACAGAGGCCCACACATGGCAGCTGACGCTATTTTCCCAGAGACCCACCAGGGCTTGCCCTGATTAGATTAAACATGAATCTACTATAACTAAAGTTTGTTGTATCATTTAAAAAGAATTTCAGTAACTATAGAGCTGTAGAATTCTTAAAAAAGTGAAAATGAAGATGACACAGAATATTTTTTCGACTGCTGGTGGAAATGTGGTTGTGTTTCTTTATGACAAGACACTGAATCACATAAGAAGAGACACAAGTCACGATGGTGTGAAAGTGTTTTGTTCGTGGAAGCAACAAGTGACACACCTACGTGGAATGCAGTCACCTGTAAGGTCAGTTATACTTCACATGGAGGATATGTCACAGTATCAAAATCACGCTGTGTGTTCTATTCAGCTGCTTCACTTTACATGGATTTGTCCAAACAGGAGAAGCGGACACATATTATATGACACATACCAGCGAGCCTGCACAGGACGACTAAATGATATTCGTGATGTTATCACTTACACCTGTGCTTTTCCAGTTGTGACATTCCGTCAAGTTCAGTGTCACACTCGAGCTGCGACTCATATCAGATAGTTCAGTGAGGACAATCCCGTACACAAATGATTTCTTCACTCAATTAATTAAACACATTAATAGAAACAATACCAACCACAGACTATATATGAAGATGGTCGACATGACAGCTCCCAATATACTCTTATCAACAACGATCTATATTTAAAAGCATTTTACCTTGAATCAAATATGCTCAAATATATATTTCCACATATTTACTGATTCTATTATTACTTCTACTATTCTCACTCAGATTTAAGAACGTCACCCCAGACCTGCAGCCAGTTGGGTCTCCACAACTGTCAAACACTTCCATCTAGTGGTTGTAATAATGTATTGCTCCAAACTCCATAAGAGTAAGGGGTTTCCCCAATGGGCAGTTTTCTGTTTTTCAAAGATTTTTGCACAAAGGAAATAAATCTGTTTCTAATCCACATATTGCATCTGTTAAATTGTGCACTACATTTTATTTCAATGAGTTAATCATGTGTTTATTCTGAGTCAGTCAGAAATTCACTATAATTTACAAATTAATACCATAAATTATCTTGACATTGCAGATTGATGCATCAAATAACCTTGTCAGCTTTTCAGAAATGTATAATTAGTTTGTTACTTTAGTCCAAGATTAATTTGTCTGTGATTGCCATCTATCCTAAGTCCAGGAAGTGAAATGTTAAACAAAAGGATTTGATGTGTGTGTGATTGTAATCTGAACTATTGGCTGCCATTTAGTTAATGCTGGGAAAAAGACATTTGGCCAACTGTGAAAAGTGAGTCAGAGTAAAGACCATGTGTTCGAGGCTCTGGTCTAGAGACCGCTTACACAACTCTCTGCTTTGTTTTAATCTCAAGAAATCACAAGACTGGATTCTCTGAAACTGAAGCACTCCCGTAGAATTGCTACGAGAGCTGTCATGATGCCAGATTTGATGAAAGAAAGTGAAAACAACATAAATGGCTAGTGTTTGCCTTCAGTGAGACGTTTTCCGTCAAGAATCTCAAAAAGGCTTTCTAGCTTTTCAGTTACAGTTTGGTTACATTCAGGTGACAAAATCGAAACAACCCTTTCTGTGCATTAATCACTTTCAAAGGCTTCATGGCAGAAAGCCTGAAGGGCAAACGCTTCCCTTTTGCTGTGTAGTGCTATTATCCCTCCAGCGAGCTGTCAGTGGCTCTCTGGGGAGACTGCTCCAAGACTCAGAGGAAGTTAGATCACATGAGACAGAACAGCACAGTTCATTCGCTGCGGTCATTCTCCTCAATGGGGGAATTTTCCCAACCAAAAGTCTGGAATCTCCACTTTGGCATTTGACTAAATAACAAATCCCTCAACAAGGAGCAGGAACAGGTCTGAGCAAGCTGATCAAGCCGTAAGTCAGTAACATATGGTAAAGTTGCCAAATAACCTCTATTGCTAAATTACTTCATTTCTCTTGCCTTCACTGATCTTACCCAAGGGGATGAAAACACAAGGCAATGTCTTGATCTCAATCGTCCTCTTATCCTGTGGGCGATTACAAATTATTTTACTTTTACTTTCAGAACTTGATATTGTGTTTTCTTCATCAGATGTTCAAAGTCTCTAAAAAGTACAACAAATAACTAAAATATTTCAAATTAAAGTTCTGTCAATTCTTCCCATATACATTCCTTGTCTAAAGACAATGAATATACAGACTTTGAACAACCTTCAGGTTAACAGGTGAGGTTAACTTGTGGTTTTAGGTGACATGTCTCAACAACTTCTGTAGCGATTGTCAGATTGTTGGGAAATTCAGACTTTCACATTTGCTTTAGGATTAATAAGCACTTTTGGTTTCTTAAATGAGTGATTTTACTTGGATTGTCTTCTCTACAGAGTTCCACAGTAGAGTGTGGATACCCAACCCGAGCCTGGTGGGTCCCAATGGGTCTGGACAAGTTCTGACCAAACCTTTGAAACAATATTTGGCTAGGTTATCTGTTTGATCTTTTACGCTTCAGGTGGCTGAAAAAACATCGGGCTCAGGGCAGGTTCAGACACAAAAAAAGAATGGCTGGCGGGTTTTGGTTAGTTTCCCCTTTTTAACTTATACTCGTTCACACTTGCATTCTTCAGTACAAACTAACGTTGACTCAACTGGCATCACACACGGAACATTTTTACTGTCTTTCCATGATGTTACAAGGTCAAAATGTAAATTTGAAATTGAATTGATTTCATTTGTGACTAAATACTTGACATTCCGAAAAAACCATCTCAATAAAACACATTTAAATATGTTGTAAACTTTTTTTTTTTTATTCAAGACTCCCTATCGTGGTAAATAGACGTCAATGGCTCATAATCGAAGCTGTGTTCAGAGCAAAAAAAAAAACCATCCAGTGGAAACTACTGAACTTTCCTGGGGGTGGTGTCTGTGTATGCAGAAGCAGGAAGCTGCTGCTGTTTTTCAGGTGATGTCACTGTTACGTACACCAGTGAAACTCCGCGTGTTAAAGGAACTCGACGGATCCAACCGAGGCAAACGAGATGAGGATCGTCGGTGTTCAGCCGCAGGAATAGAACGTGTGACACAAACTGCTCGGTACGACTCCACCGGGTTTGAAGCGTTTGAAGGAGAAACCCAGGATCAGCTCAGTGTGTGTGGTGAGTTTGTGGCTCCACGTTTTAAACTGTCGTTGTGTTGTCATGTGGTGTTTGTATTGTTTCTTTCATCCATGTTCTCTGTGCTGGTTTCACTGCTCAGTCACCTTCACCTCTTCAAGTGCCTGCTTTTATTTGATCACTTTAATTTTTTGGTTTATTTCGAACATACACATTAAAAAAAAAAAGAAAAGAAAGTTGGAAAATGACAAAAGAAAGTTTTTTTACAAACTGATATGGATTCGAATATAACTAAACACTTGATTTAATCTCCATAAAGGAGAGAACTACCAACTTTAGTTTTACCAATGTAGTATACTATACTTAATGCAGCTTCCTATATATATATGTAAATGTGTTTTTGTGTTTGTTCTCACTTTGTTTTATGGGGAATTCAGCAACACAATAACCTGGTGATGTAATTCATGCAACAACTGTGGTGTTCAGTGGCTGTTTTCTAGGAAGATGAAGAGCAGCTACATTTTATATTTTTCTTCTAAATTAGATGAGATGTCAATATAATAACAATATATATATGTATAGATGTGAAAATATGAGATCAAAACGATACCAAATATTACATTGAAAATATTCAGCACAGAAATTAAATATATATATATATATATATATATATACAAAAAGTGTATATAAGAATATAGATAGGCTACATAGAGAGGGAGATAATTTAGCCGTAGCCATATGCATTGGTTTGGCAAACAAATTAAAATGCCACTCAAGCATTTCCAGCCAAATTAGGTCCATGATTGACTGCAGTTTTATGTAAAATTGTTTTTGTCTGCAGGTCTTAAATGCACAAAATTAATACAAAACAGTCCCATACGTGTGGACAAAACACAACGTGTGAAATCCACACAGTCAGTGACTATAGACATACAGTATACAAAGAAAGATTAAGACAGAAGGTACAGTGTGCACCATCACAGTCTCAACTCTTCATTGTAATATCCCTCCAGGCACAATCTAACCGGCTTTATTCTTCTTACTCTTGTAATTCTTGTACCATATGCATGTTGTCTGATTCCACTGAAGATAGCCCGAAGTTAGCAAGCGTGTCCCATAAAATCTCCCATCAGTTGTCTGTGTTTTTCGTTTTTTTCAAAGTATGTCCCTCCTCCTGCTTTCTTGTCCATAATGATCCAACCCCAGTTTTAAGTACACATCTCCAGAAGTATGCAATAATTTACTGAACCTTTCTTTTCTCTTCCTGCAGCCAATTGTCCTCTCCCACTGCAGCCATGGTGACAGCAGTCCTGAAGTTGTACTTTATTGGAACCGCGCTGACCGTCCTTGCAGTCATTTACCAAATTGTGGACTCTTTCGGCGGCCTGATGTACATCCAGGACCGAAATTACACTCTGGATCTGGACCACCAGACGCACAGAGAGCTCCCGTCACGGAACCGGCGGAGAGGATCGTCTGTGACAAAAGGAATCGGCTCCTAGTGGAAACATCTCGACGTACGAAACTGTTTGCTGGATGGACATGTTGGACATTAGCAATGGATCAAGAGACAGTAACTACAGGAGATAATAACTACTGGTTTCATCACTGACAAAATACGTCGCCGTGTCTGATTAGTTGGAAATGTTGTGCACGGGACAGTTTCTTTAGATGGATGCATGTCTGCTATTCCTACTTTGCACCATCTGTGGTAAAACACTGCTGTGTTTAATCCCCTTCAAGTCTGATGACAATGTAACACCACTACTGATGATTTGCACTAAATCTTATTATATATAATGTTGTTTTCTTTTGGAAAAGTTTTTTCAGGTCATGTACTTTGGATTTTTGTTCTAAATAAAATGAATTGAATCAAAATGAGGTATTGTAATGAGTAGTTTTCTGCAGCGTTTTCCAGAAAACTGAAATAAGTCTAATACATTTTCAGCGGTGACTTTGGGGAACTAAAGGTTTAAGAGTTTTGCTCCAAATACTTGACCCGCAAGGAGTTTTGACTTTTAACCAAAGGGTCAGACAAGAAAGAATGTGTTTTATTTTGTCCGAGGTTGAATGGAGTTGTGTCAAGTTAATTTGTTAATAGTGACTCATATGTCTATGTGGAAACCTTTTCTCAAGGAGATACAGATGCTCTGTGCAGCCTCTAAACCACTGTCTTGGTTTTTTTGCACAATTTCTATTTGATTCTGTATAAGTTTTCATCACAAGTTGGAGGAGGGAGGATGAGAAATCTCCTCCTCTGTCACTCCTCTTGAGGTTTCTTGCATTTTTTTTTACTCCTGTATACATTTTTTGGGGATGAGAAGGGGTTCTTTCTATCCTTATCTGATTTGTTGATCTTTGAATGTCGCTGGTGTGCAAACAGTTCTATCAGAAACATTAATTTGCAGAGGAGCGATTTTTATTTGGATCTGCACCAAATTACACACACTCATAATTATCACACCCATATTAGACTGATTTTTTCCCCTCAATATATATGAGCTATTCTCAGAGAAATAAAGAAAAATGTAAAAAATTCTTCACATTAAAATTAAATGGGTTTTACCTGATCCATGCCACATCCTTTCAGCATAGTGTCCAGTTGTTTTTGCACAATCCTGCTAACAAACAAACAAACATGTATGTGCTGCTTACTAGTATTTGATACCAACAAAATCATCAAGGTTTTTCAAAGTAAAGTCATCATTTAAGTAAAGTTACCAATTTTGATTTTATAAATAGACGGTGAAGCTTATACTTATACATTACTGCTGCATTATGGGACGTTTAGGACCTATGCAGACATGTAGGGAGCCTGGCCTATAGATGGCAGCCCACTTCACAGAGCAACTTATCAGGGCCATGTGTAATTGTGTCCACTACAAAGTCATTCTTCACTGCTGCTCTACACATCCACAAACTTCTCCAGCTATTATTCATGTTGGAGATTATTGAACGTGTCAGTACAAGTTGCCACAAGGAGCGTTTTCCACCACACATTCTCTCTGTAAATCCTGCAGCTCAGGTCACTTGGATGCGGGCACAAACACCTGTTGGCTGAGGACGCACCAACTCACTCAGCACTTTTTATGTTAATGACCCGTGCAGGCACTTCCCACATTCACTTGCCTTGAGAGCGCACGGTCATCAACCTGTGCCACAAGCGCCAAACATCTCTCACTGGTTCTCTCATCTTTTATTTATCAATTTAAATCGGCGGGGTGTCACATCAGACATGCTCTGGAGACTGGTGGTCCTCGGCTCGGTGTGCTTCTGTCTTGTGGCGGCTGAGGGCAGGAGCCGCGGGGGCAGGACGGCGACTCTCCCCCGGCCTCAGCGGGATGGGAGCCGGGGCCAAGTGCGCGCACGCCCCAGGAGAGAGAGCAGCGGTGCATCGGGCGCAGCCAAGCTTTCTCACGGTCCTGTCTTCACCTCCTGCCGGCTCCCCCTCACCCCAGCCGAACACGAAGTTCTGGATGACAACACACACGAGGTAAGGAAGGTTTGCTGTGGGTGTGTGGAGGGTTTTGGTGAATGGGCAGGTTCAATGTCCACCGAAGAAGTCAAATAAAATCAGTCATGAGTTTTAAATGAACTTCAAACACACACAAACCTGTTTCAGTCAGAAGAAATGATGTTTCTCTCTGTTGCTGTACATTCATGTTGATATATTTCTTTAGAAAATACCAAAAGAAATTAGGACATTAAACTGATTTCATGACATTTTAACAATTTATAGTATAGTGTAGATCTAGTTCCCAACCACTTCACATTCTTTAAGACCTATTAAGACAGTTTTTCAAGATATGCGAATAAATCTGGATTGATTCATTGTTTTTTAAAAGTTTTATAGAGATAACGTCTGTTTCCTCTCGTTCTCCTATAGACTGGGTTTAATGGTGATGACGGCTCCTATGTCATTCTCACATGGGTGGGCGATGGTACAGGAGTGAGTATCTTTGCACTGCATCACTTCATCCTCTCAAAACTCAAAATGTTCTGTGAATATTCAGACTTTATATCTGCAGCACTGTGTGGTTTCATAAAAGAAACTTCACATTTCTCACATTATCTGTTTTTTTATCATTCCTATTTTCCTGAAAACTATATTTATGAACAGAAATAGCAACGTTCTGTTTGTAATAAACAAATTAAAAGGATGACTTTCTCATTCCTGGACTTGAAATAATGGTTCATGATGCTCATGAACTAGAGAATCTACACCGTTCAGATATTTGTCATGACGAGGTTTTAACTGCACTGCTATAGGTGGTCCTGGTGCTGTCTACGATCAGCGTTCCTATCAACACTTATCTAGATGGAGGCTCATCACGACTTTACAGAAGGTGAGCTAGCGTCTGAAATAAACCAGGAAAACATCCATCCCATGTGTGTAGCACTCATATGAAAAGAACTTGACCTGGTTTGCTCTCTCATCAGTACGGATTATGGGAAGTCCTTCCACGACATTTCCAATCACATCAACAATACGTTCATAAAGGAGGAGTTCGGAGTCAGCGTTGGACCAGGAAGCTCCGTAAGTCAACATCCTCTAATAAGTTGTGACACCCTGCCGTCCTTTTGTGAGTCTGTGTGTAGCTGTTCACAGTTTCACACAGATAGAAGTGTGTGTGTGTGTGTTTGCCTCAGAAAACTGTGAGGACATCTCACATTTTGCCGTCCACTCAGCTTGTGCCACCTTTTAACTTTCAAACCAGTTATGCTCGTGTGCTGTTGTGGTGGCTGACACGTTCAAAAACAGTACAACCACAGAAATGCATCGACAAGCAAACACTTGTGCGACTGTAACAGCAGCATGAAATGAAAATGTGAAGGCGCCATTTGTACATTTTCGCCATCGCCATAACACTGGTTTGTGAAAACGTTGTGATGCTGTATGTCAAAATGGACGTAGACTCCGGGTTTAGAAAGTGAAGCCAATGTGAAAGTGTCTGAAACATGTTATTCTCAAATGACCAGCAGAGGGCGACTCCACTGGTTTAAAAAAGAAATTAGTTGCAATTGTCTACAGATATGTTCTTTATTTATTTTCTTTCCCCAAAACAAAAATATTCAAGACTTGTGTCAAACAATCTCATTTTATTCTGTTTACATTTCAACATTTTGTCTCAGTAACTCTGCCAACTTTCCTCAGACCTGCTTTTAATTCTAATTTTAATTTAATTGTATTTTTCTGCTTTCTGCTTTTAATCCACAGGTGATTTTGACCGCAGACACACCGGTGTTGGACAACCCAGGAGGGATCATCTTCACCTCCACAGATGCTGGAGCGACCTTCAAGTTCATCCAGCTGCCCTTCCACTTGGCTCAGCCAATCACGTACCACTTCCTCAACCCTGACTACCTCGTGGCCCTCAGTATCGACGTGAGTCAAGCATATTCAAATTCGCTCTGTGGTTCTCTTCCCTCTGCATTGATCAATAAACTTGTGCTCACAAAAAGCCACACTTTACTGCATGTGTAACATACACACACACACACTCACACATCAAGCACACACACTTTAAATCGAAGGTAAACACTCCTCTGTTCCTTTCTGACACACAGGGCGGACTGTGGCTCTCGCTGGACTTTGGTGCCAAGTGGACAAAAGTTCATGATGGAGTGCATTCTTTCTCATGGTGAGAATAAACAAGACACAAATCCCTGTGTGTCTGAAGAAAAATGTTCCATATATACTCACGCATTATTTATACTTACACATATCTGCAGCAATACTGCCTCGTATATCTGCTGCACATGATATATATCCAGTATATACACCCATCACTGTTATTTATTAATGTATTTATATATCTCTACCCATGTATACATTGCACTTCACTGCATTCTGCACCTGTTTTGATGCTGAACTCCATTTCATTGTCTTACTATTTTTAACCTGTTTAGTGACAATAAAGTTAAAATTTGATGTAGGCCAGGGTTTAAACAGAATTGGCAAATGTCCTTGAATATTCGGTACATTTTGAATTAATTTAATTTGAAGGAAGTGATGCGATATGTGAAACATTCTGTGTTCCTGAAATATTTCCAACTTCTTTTCTTCAGGGGAGCTGGTGTGAACTTGTTCTTCAGTTGCACTCGAGTCGACACAAGTAAGAAACTATGAAAACCAAGTGTTTTGTTCTATCAAGAAACAGTGTTCATCATGTGAGACCTATTTCAGGTAGTATATTATATGAAATAGATGTTAATATGATCTAATAAGAAAACTAAACGTAATTTAATGGTTGTTATCAGATGTGTTTAACTCTGAATTGTCCCCATTAAAGGGGTTAAAGGCGTCATATTCTCATCATCAAGTTTTCTTCTTGTCGCTGTAGTCGAGGCAGAAGATCAGGGAGACTTAGTGCTGAAGAGGACAAAGGATCTGGGGGAGACCTTCACCACCATCCACGAGGACGTCTTCAGTTTTGGCTACATCGGAGCTTTTCTCTTCTTCTCTGTGATGGAGGATTCGGTAAGATGAGCCCTCTTAAGGCACGGACTATACACTGGAGATAAAGATGACAAAAGTGAAGCCAAAGCATCTCGATCACACCCTGGTGGCTGGATGCAGTATAGGTCATAAACCTCACCTCCTCCATGTTAAGTGTGGGACATGGATCAACCAAATAAGTCTTTTTGTGTAGTTCTTATCACACTAATGGATCTTGAAGTGTTCATTTTTCCTCTGAGGTGGCTTCCAACTAGTTATTTGATGCTTTTAGCAGATTTTGGTTTTATTTCAGGATGTTTGGAGGGCGTGGAAACTTTATTCACATTCTACTGATATTACACTCGTCACTC